TTAGGATTTAGGGGTTAGGGGTTTGGGTTTACGGTTTAGGGGTTAGGTTTAGGGTCTTTAGCAACTTTTTGGGAGAGGCTTCAAATATACTCTCTGGTTTCGACGAAGGCCAAAGGTCTGTCGGCTTTCTGTTGCTTCCAACGCGTTGCTTGCAGGGCTTCCGGCTGCGATGGTTCAGGAAGGTTTTCGGATCCCAGAGCTACGTAATCAACCCGAAGCATTATGAGCAGTGGAAACACAGCTCTTCTGCTGCTTCAAACGGCGGCAACAACCAAAGACCGAAAACTCCTACACTCCGAACCATGGAACACGCACACCTTGATCCCAGCTTCCATCCAAGATAATGAGCCCCATGATCCTCTAGCTATACTGTAGTAACTCTAGGTATAGAGTTATGGGCTCTACATACATATATGTATACAAATTATATATATATATATATGAGTATAGTAACCAAGGAGTATGAATTCTCAGTATATTTGATAGTAACTACAGGACCGTTCAAGACTATGACTAGAAGTATACATATACGAGCAGGAAAAGACTTGCCAGAAGAGATTAGACCTCGGCCCAGGACTTTGCAGGTCCTGCGAGCTTGGACCTAAGGAACTAGTAGTATTCTTTGTTAGGGTTCCCGCTAAGTTGGGAGTCGAAGACTAGTCGAAGACCCTCCCGAAAATCCGTCGGCCTCGGTCGAATTATTGAGGCGGCTGTATTAATTATGTGTGCATTGCATCTAGTTGGCTGCGTTTGATTCGCCATCACCGTCACGCGTGTATATATTTATTATCTAGTTTGATGTAGTCAGTCATAGAGCTTGCTTAGCATACGTCACGACAGCAACTCGTATTGCTTATATCATTCTGAGTATCAACAAGATAATGACAATCATCTCCCTAAACCCCCTAGGGCTTCAGGGTCCTAAACTCCAAAGCCTAACCTCTTTAGGGTTGAGGTTAGGGGTTGAGGGTTTAAAGTTCAGAGTTTAGGGCTCCCAAACCCACCAACGAAAACAAGAACAACATGCCTTAGCAATGCTTTCATAGTTGCGATGATCTTGGATTTGCCCCATATAATAAACCCTAAACCCTAAACCCGAAAGCTTGAACGTAGTTGCAGCCCCAGCGTTTCAGGCTGCGAGATTGTCAGTTTGTCAGCCTTGGCATTGAGAGGGTTGAGGGTTTAGGGTTTGGGGTTGCATTCGAGTGTGGAGCAATTAGGAATGTTATTCTCTTCCAGTCCTGATATACCCGTGCCATTGTGCGCCAAAACCATAGAACGAAGGTTAGAATTCAGGCATTTGAGCATCTCTTTTTCCATGAATGGTGTCAAACGGCAAACCGCTTGGACCTATTCCCGCTGATATTGAAACCTGCGGCTTCTTGCTATGCAAAGACGGCCCAAACTAAGGAAGAACCTCTGGCCCTAAGACCTAACCCTAAACCCCCAAGCCTAAACCCTAAACATCCCGAAGGTTAGAGGCCTAAACCGCGTGTCGCTGTGCACGACTCTTTCTTTCCAGGCCCAGGCTCAAAGCCCGAACACCTGCCAGAGGTTAAGGGTGGAAGGCCTAGGGCTCAGGGTTTAGGGTTTAAGATTTTCCCCCTAAGCCCTAAACCCTAAACCCAAACATGCCTAAGGTGCCCGGTAAGGGGATATGGGGATAGCCTGCTGGGATTTGTGGGGGCTTGGGGCTCCGGCTAAACTCCGATGCTGCTCCCCAGACCCCCCACCATAAATCCTTCTACCTAAAGCTTAGGGCCTTTGGGTTTAGGGGGTTTAGGGTTTAGGGTTTCAGGTTGTAGGGTTTAGGGTTTACCCTAAACCCCAAATCTGAGGGGTTGAACGAACTTGTAAAGCTCGACCACAGGTGCCAGGGGGCCTACCAGCCCAAGGGATAAGCGAGCGACGGTGCTGGCCTCAGATCCTGCGGAGAGGGTGTACAGGGTGTAACGTTTCAAAGGCAGAGGTTTTAGGGTTTAGGGTTTTAGGGTTCAAGGTTTAGGCTTCAAAGTTTGAGGGTTTAAGGTTTAGGGTTCAATCAAGGTCCAGGGTTTATAAGGTTTAGGCTTTAGGGT